GGATGGGGTAGGTGAGCCGGGGTGGGTCGGGGGGGGGGGGGGCTGGTGCAGGGCTGCAGGCCACGACTGAGAGGGCCGTACTTTCCCCCTTCACTGGGGCTCGTCAGGGAGTAAAGTAATCAGCGCAGGTCCAGCACAGGGGCATCGTCACTTTTTGCCTGTCCTGATGTGATGACTTGCACTCAACTAGCACACTCTCCCAACAACTACCAAACAAACCCACCTTGACGGGGTGCTTGGATTCGAACAGCATGTCGGAGCATACTGGGCAATCCCGCTTCAGGCTCTGCTCCTTGCACACGTGCTTGTTGAACAGCTCCAGGCTCATGCATGCGTTGCAGGACATGCAGTGGAAGGAGTCGATGCCCGGGCCCTTGCCCTGTGGGTGGAAGACAGGGAGAGAGGGGGCGGGGGTCCATTCTCAAACGGGGGCGGTTTGGGCTGCATCTGACGAGCAAAGACGGATGGTTGAGATCCGCCCCAGGATGTAAAGAGGTTGCTCCCGCGGGCGTGGCGGACCGTACACAGGAGCCCATGCAACACCCCTCCCCCATGGCCCCCTGAATCCACTTCAAGCCAGAGACGGCCCCAGCCCCACGCACCTGGCGGCAGAAGTTGCAAAAGGGGCAGTGGTAGATGGCCTTGCCCGGGTCGTCGTCAAACAGGTGGCACACCTTGCAGTAGTAGCGTGACATGCAGGTGCCGCACCCCGAGCAAGAGCCTGAGTGTGTAGAAAGGGCGGGGTGAACACTTCGAAAAAGGGCGACTTGGGGGCGGTGGCCCACGGATGTGTCCATGGTGTTGGGCGGGCAGTGGGGCAGGGGCATCGGTCCCAGACAGGGTGCAGCGTCCCGCATCACGGCATATACTCCCCCAGAGCAGGGGTCACACATTTCTCATGCTTCCACAACGCCCCACCCTGCGGTCGCCCCCTTCCCCCGCGCCTGCAACCCCAAAGCAAGACTGGACCCTCCCCCCCACACACACACACCCACACCGCACCACACCTGCCACAGGCTGGCGCAGGCTGCACTCCATGCACACCATTTCGCACACCGCATACCGATCCAGCACGTGGTCCGTGGCCTCGTCGTGGCAGAAGCGGCAGACGTAGGCACGGTCGCAGCAGGGTGCCACCAGCTGCGCGGCGCGGCGGTAGTGCCTGCACCCCAGCACGCCCTTCTTGGGGTCGTGGTAGCGACGCGCGCTGTGCAGCAGCGGGCCCGCCGCGGGCCCGGCGGCCGGCGGGCGCGGCGGGGGGGAGCTCTCGCCGCCGGCGACCGGGGGCGATGCCGCGGCGGGTGACGCGGAGGCCCCCTCGCCGGGCGCCTCGCCGCCCTGCCCGCCGCCCCGCTCCCCCGCAAGCCCCCCCACGCGCCCGCCGCCCTCGTCGCCCGCCCCGCCTGCCAGCAGGCGCTGCTGGGCCACCACGTATCGGCTGGCCATGATGTGCTGGATGAGGTAGGCCTTGCGCCCCGGCTCCAGCCCGGCGTCGGAGCTGACGCGGCGCACCGCCGCCTCCAGCTGCTTCTGGTTCATGCGGAAGATGTCGCCCCAGCCCGGCGTGTAGAGCGAGGACTCGGCGCTGGCGGCCCCCGCCTCCGCCGCCGCGCCCGCGCCCAGCAGGCCCTGGGAGGAGAGGTAGCCCGCCACCTCGGCCAGCGTGTCGCGCATCTCCGCCGCCTGGCCCGCGCCGCCGCCGCAGCGCGGCGTGGCGCCCTCGCCCCCCGCGCCGCCCCCCGCCCCGCCGCTGGGCGTGTCGGGCATGGCCTGGCCCATGGCCGCTCCCAGCCACGCGTCAAAGGCGGTGGAGCTGGCCGCGGAGCGGATGCTCAGCATCATGGCGTCCTCCTCCTCGCGCGTCATGGCACCGCGCACCCAGGAGAGCAGCGACGTCAGCACGTCGGCGCCGGTGCGCCCGATGATCAAGCCCACCAGGTGCTCCTGCTCGGCCACGGGGAAGTGCTCGGCAAAGAGGGGCCAGAGCTCCAGCTCCTCGGCGCGGATGTGGGTCTCCAGCGAACCGCGCACGCCCGAGTAGTAGCAGGCCAGCTCGGCCAGGCGCTGGCGCCGGCTGTCCAGCGTGCCCGTGGCCATCACCCGGTCCAGGCACTGGCGTTGGCCAGTGGGTGGCAAGGGGGAGTGTTGGGCAAGGTGCTGGGTGAGCGGGCGCTGAAGCCCGAGGGGGGCCAGCCTCCACTCACAGCGTCGAACTCCGCTCAACCTCACTACCCCACCCATCCCGCACCTCGCTGCAGGTCTGGAACTGCATCTCCTCCTGCTCGTGGTCCAGGGTGTAGGCGTGGCTGACGTTGCGCAGGACCTTCTTTCCTTCCAGCGCGGGAAATACCACCTCGTCCTCTGCAAGGGGAGCAGGAGGAGGGTGGGGTGGGGAGCAATTGACAGAGGGTCAGCACGCCAGCTGGCGCATGGAGGGGGGGGTGGGAGGGACCACAGCACGCCTCCACCTTGCGTCGGCGACCAGCCACGGGACTCCACTTGTGGTACGCACTGCGTTGCATGCCTGCCTCTCCCCATCCTGCTTCCCTCACCAGACAGGGAGTGGGCGCGGTAGATCCCACGCAGAAACTGGAAGCGGGCGGCCAGACGCTGCATGACCTGCGGATGGGTGACACGGGACAGGCTTTGACTTCTTGTTGGGTGGAAAGGGGAGAACGCAGCGAGCACAGGGGGAGGGTAGCGCGAGTCGCTGCAATCACGCAGGTATGATGGGTCCCTGCCGCGTCCCTTTCATCACTGAGCCTCTTCAGGAACAGGCATCGGCCACTCCCCACCAGACAGGAGGCCCCCTCCCTCCCACGCCGACACACCTCTGTGGTGTCTGCCAGCTCGGCCGCCGTCTCCAGGCGCTGCTGGCAGGTGGCAATGGTGGCCTCCAGCTCCGCCAGCTCCTTCCGCAGCGCGTTGTGGAACTGGAAGATGTGGTCGATGGGCGAGGGGCCCGCCCAGCCCTGCGCCGCGGCGCCGCCGCCGCGCGGCGCCGCCTCAAAGGCGGCCGCCGTGGCGAGGCGCTCGGCGCCCGCGGGGCGCTGCGCGGCGGCGCCGTGGTCTGGACCGCCGACCCTGATGCGCTTGGGCGCGGGCTGCGGCAGCGGGCAGGCCGGCGCCAGGCGGGCTGTGCCGCGCTCTGCGCCCCCGGGGGGGGGGCCCGGTAGGATCGCCTCGGACACGCCGCGCATGTCTGCCGCCGGCCGCGGCCTCGGGTGGCAGGTGAGCAGGCTGTAGCGCGTGGGGTCTGCGCACCGTCGAAGGCTGGTGATGACGTCCCCCAGAGGCCCCGCCACGTGCCCGCTCACATCGCCCTCCCCCGCAACAGCCTCCCCCCCCTCGCTCCCCCGTGCCGCCCAGCCCGTGACCAGCGCCACCAAAGTCGTGTCGCCGCGCCCGGCACCGCGCGCCAGGTCGGCCAGCCAGCGCCGGCGCTCGGCGGGGGCCAGCCGCGCCGCGATCCAGGGCATGACGCGCTCCAGCAGGCGCAGCGGCATGGCGCGGACCATGGCCCAGAGCAGGGCGCGCTGCTCGGGCCGCGGGCACAGCCGCTCCAGCGCGGGCAGCACGCCGCGCTCCTCGGCCTCCATGTGTCCCGCCATGGCCGCCGCCAGCGCGTCGGCGCTGGCCACCAGGTCGGCCGAGGCGATGCCACTGCGCGAGCAGCGCCGCCGCGCGCAGGAGGCCACCTCGCCCAGCAGGCGCTGGAGCTCGTCGAAGCGCAGCGCCTCCTCGCCGTGCCCCGCGCAGCCGTCGTGCGGCGGCGGCGGCGGCGAGTGGCGGGCTTGGGGGGAGGGGCCTGTGTCGGCGGCGGCGGGGCCCGGCGCAGATGCCGCGCCGGGGCGGTCGCCGCCCGGCGAGGCCCGAGACGGCGAGGCACACGGATCTCCAGCCGCGGCGCCGGGCTCGCCCGCCGGCCCCCCCTCCTGCTGCGAGGTGTGGAGCCGTGCCAGGGCCGGGAACACCACCTCGTCCTCGGCCGCGGAGTGGAAGGCGCAGACCGCGCGAATGAAGCGGTGGCGCACCAGCAGGGCAGCCAACGCGGGCGGGTCGGGGCCGCCGGGGGCGGAGGCCACGGCGCGCGCGTCGGCGGCAAAGCCCTCCAGCGCCGCGCGGATGGCGGCGTGGTAGTGCAGGATGCTGCGCAACGGCGGCGGGCCGGCGGGCTGGCGGGAGCCTGGGACGTCGGTCCGCCCTTCGCGCTGGGATTGGGCCCCCGGAGGGTCTGCCACCGACCGCGCCGCTGCAGCCGCTTCATCGTCCCCCGAGGAGCCCGGCGAGGAAGGGGAGCCCGGCCGCGCGAGGCCGTCGCTCCCCGCTCCGTCGGCCTCGTCGGCCTCCAGCCAGCCGAGCAGCAGGGAGCAGAGGAGGGGGTCATCCACCGCGCCGGCCAGCGCCTCCCGGATAGCGGCGCGGTCGGCGGGGGCGGCGTGCGGCTTGACCCAGGCCAGCACCCGCGCCACAGTGGAGATGGGGATGCAGCACAGGAACTGGGCCACCAGGCCGCCCTGCTCGCGCGGCGGGATGTGGGTCAGGAGCAGGGGCAGGAGCTGGGCCTCCTCCTTGGCTAGGTGCTTGGTCACCGTGGTCTGGATGCGCCAGCTCAGCTGCCTGGAGGAAGAGGGGGGGGCGGGGGTGGACAAGTGGCATGGGAATGCACGCAGAGGCAAATACCAAGGTGGGCCTATTCTATGGGATTTTGGTGGAATACGACGCAGGCGTGTGCGAGCGGCTGCCTGCCGATCAAGTGTGATCGCTCTGAGAGGTGCCGTGCCCCGTCCCATCCACCGACCCCGGCCACCGCCCACTATTCCTCCTTCACCTCACGGCCAAGAGGTTCTCCTTGGTGGGTGACTGCTCGGTTGCGAGGAGGAGGTCCACCATCTCCTCCAGCAGGTGCTCCTAGGGGGCGGTGTGGATGTACGGGTGACCGCACCGCTTGTTCCGCCCCCAAACCCTATCGCACAGGCGATTCCGTGAACACCCGGGCCCCGTACCATCGACGCAGCATCGGTGCTGAGACCCCTTACCTCGTCCTCATGCTCAACGGAGTAGGATGGCGTGACGTTGGCGACCTCCAGCTCCAGAGCGGGGTAAATCACCTGAGTGCGTCGTGGGAGCGGGTTGTCGTCGTGCGCACGCACGTCCTCTTCCCGTGTCGCACAGGCGCTGCTGCCCGTTCCCCGTCCAGGCAGAGCGCACATACCTCGTCCTCAGCGGCGCTGTGGTACTTGTACACATCCCGGAGGAAGATGTAGCGGCGCCGAAGTTCCGGCCAGCCCGTGGATGTACCCGCCAGCAGGAGCTGCAGGCTCTGGGAGAGCAGCGCGAGCTCGTGTCGGATCGCCTCGTGAAGGTATGTGTACAGGAAATGGATCGGCTGAAACACAGTTGCAGGCTGTTCGTGACCATCAGCCAGCTTGCCGGCGGGGCGAGCTGCCTGAATGGTCGTCATGTGGGCCATTAAGGCTTACTGAGTCTTTCGGCCATGACGGTTGCCATGCAGGAGTAATGAGGTAAGAGGATAGCCTTGTATGATGACCAGGGGCCCGCGTCGTATGCCGAGCTTCCCACCAAGCGTGCGTCGCGCACTCTGCTCCAGGGCCCCCCCTCATTTCATGACGTGATGATGTGGGGTGGGGGGTCGTAACACACAGACCCAAATTCCCCTATCTCACTGCCGAACCCTGCATCCATTCGAGCAAGGATGGATTGCGAGTTTCAAAAATGAGTATCCACCGCCGTGAACATACTCCGACTCCAAGGCTGGGCTCATGCACATGCCATCAGATTTTTGGCTCATGCATGCCACACCATTCTGGGACCTCATGTCCACCGCGGCGACCTGAGGACACTGCGACATACCAGGAAGACAAAGAAATCTTCCACGCTTTGGATATTACCTTGCAATCCCACCGCAATGCCCAAAGCCCCGTACACAAGCTCCTTCCCGTGTGGCATCATGTACATGCACCCACCAACTCAGACATCGTGCTCCAACTCAAGAATATTTACAACTCAACCGTTATGCAAGTTCTCGCTGCATGCCTTGAATACTTCAGTTCGTAAATTTGGCCTTGATAATGACCGTGGGGGCTCGTCCTCTTGCAACATATCCTTCGCACGAGTCGAAGATATGTCGCTACCGGGCTTGCGCCGGTTGCACAGCTGCTTCCCGCAAGCGGGATCTGACTGGCGCAGTTGGTTGCCTCGATCGGCGAACCAGAGGGGGTGGGGGGGTGGGAGAAGACGATACAGGGGGTCCACCAAAAGCTGTGGGACGAAGTGCATTCGCAAAAAAGCACTTGGTCAGCATCAGCATGTTGGCAGCCCCGTTCACGTCGCGGTTCACGACGTTGACCTTGCAGGCCTTGTTCGTGCACCGCTTCGTGTCCCACACGTCCACCAGCTTCTCCTTGCCGTTGCGCACCCGCACGTACTGGTGGGCGAGCAGGGTGGCGTGACAGGCGCAG